GTATCAATGGTGTGAGCCCCAAGGTTCGCAAAGTGCTGCAGCTTCTTCGCCTTCGCCAGATTTTCAATGGCGCCTTTGTTAAGCTTAACAAGGCTTCAATTAACATGCTGAGGATTGTGGAACCATACATTGCATGGGGGTGAGTCTTACACTTTGCTTTGATCATTTGTTACCAAATTAAGTTGGCTAAAAGATGATGGATTTTAGCTGTTTAGACAGTGTTAATCTAACTTTATGATCATTTGTCTGCTGTTTCTATATTTCAGGTACCCAAACCTGAAGTCGGTGAATGAACTCATCTACAAGCGAGGTTACGGCAAAATCAATAAGAAGCGTATTGCCTTAACAGATAACACTCTGATTGCACGGTCTCTTGGTAGGTTCTGCCTAGGGGGTGGGGAGCTTGGTAGTCTGGGGTCTTGTAAACTCTTGTACATATATCTTCCCTTAGGGAACATGGTGTTTCTTTTGGCTTGGTACCTATTTTTAATAACCCCATGTATTTCTCCCCTTGTTTTACAATATGTCACATCCTCTAATTGAGAACCTTATTGAGTACCTTGACATTTGCAGGTAAATATGGTATCATCTGCATGGAGGATCTGATTCATGAGATCTATACTGTTGGGAAACGTTTCAAAGAAGCAAATAACTTCCTGTGGCCCTTCAAATTATCTTCTCCGCGAGGTGGGATGAAGAAAAAGACCACCCATTTCGTAGAAGGTGGAGATGCAGGCAACAGGGAAGACCAGATCAACAGACTTATTAGAAGGATGAACTAAGGTTAGAGACTGCATCTTGAGAGCTCCTTTAATAAGAATAAAAATGCTGATAGTTCTGAATTTACATTAAATGTTGGAAGTTTGGTTATGTTTTAATTGTTTTAGTGGGGTGGGGGTGGGGACTGTCAATATTTAATTACACTTGAGAACATTTTTGTTGGGAAGGAAAGCCCCATTTTATTTAAAAATGGAAGCTTGGTGATTATCTTAATTATATGACTTTCACATTAATTTGTTAAAGGTGGCTTATTTAATGGGACCTTTTCTTTTTCCCCTTTCAGGTATCTCTCTGCCATGATTATTTTTGTAATCTGGTCTCTTAATAAAACAGTGACTGCTTTCAAGTGGAAATGTTGTATTGGTGACTTTTTTGATAGCCCTTCCCTTAATTATTATGGCAATTTTTGGTGTAGAATAAAATTTAGCTAATAACATTTAAATTTAGGATCCAGTTGAAGTGAAATGGTTTGTGAGAGGTTTTTCTTGAAAACCTTCCCCCTAAATCTTAATTTTTGATCTTTGAAGTACACTAAAAACCATTATGCTGCTTTCAAGAAAAAGCCTATTTCATAGGCATTTGAATGTGATTTTATAAACTGTAGGTTTTCTGCAGCATCTTAGCTAGGCACCAAACCAAAGTCACTGCCATTGAGTCAGTGCCAACTCTGCCACGTTACAGCGTGGGATGCAGATTGCCTCATCTGTGGACCAGCTGGTGACTTGAAGCTACTAGACTTGCAGTTAGTTCATGTAGTACATAATCCACTACACCATCGGGGCTCCTTTATCTAGACTAGTGAATTGGGACTGTAATGTATAGTGTGTGTAACATAAAGTGCATATAATAAAAAAATTTCATGGTCCTTGTTGATTGTGTGGGTGTGGTGCAGAGTGGAACAGTTGTTGCCAGTTCTCTAGACACTCAAACCAGAATTCATTAATTCCTTAGTGTAAAGTAGAGTTTAATTTTTTGTTTTAGTATCAGAAGGTATGGATTTGTAATGTTTTTGGTTTAGTGAGTTTCTGTATGATAAAAAGGAACGCATCTGCTTTGACTAGTTAATAAAATTATATCTGTTTGTGAGTTAGCGGATTTGGGCCAGAATTTAGTCTTAGTAGTTGGATCAGTTGGCGGGAATTGTACATTAATCTCTAGGTGGAGCCAAAGAACCTAACTTTGAAGTTTTCAGTGGTTTTGTTACACAGTGTTGAGTAGATGAATATAAAAACCCAGTCTTTAAAGGAAGGTGATGAAAATTGATGTGTGCTCATTGAGACTGCCTTTGCGTGTGTTTGTGTATCCAGTGTTGTAAAAGATGGTTGTTCGGATGATGTTAGAGCATATTTGGCCTAGTGCAATAAGGAGGGTCATCTGCTCAGGATGGCAGGTTAGGTACCCTTTAAGAATACCCCAAAAAGGTTTCTAGTATCAGTTAAACAGCACAGTTGCCTTAAGCATGGTTGACTTGAGAGGATTAGATGTTCTAGGGGTTCCTAATTGGAATAATTTGGTAGAGAAGTGGCACTCTACACAGGAAGGTTAAAGCTTTTTTGAGCTGATGAATGATAGTAAGATTCTGTAAGTATAGTAAGGTAAACTGTTGGTTATACATTCTCAGTAGACATCAGTGGGCACGCCAACATCATTGCTACTGGGCTTCTAGTTCCTGCATGCACACTTTATCTTATCCCCTACCCCTAATTGCTTTTATTTTTTAAAATGTTATTGGGGGCTCTTACAGATCTTATCACAATCCATACATCACTTGTCTCAAGCACATTTGTACATATGTTGCCACCATTATTTTCAAAGCATTTTCTTTCTACTTGAGCCCTTGGTATCAGCTCGTTTTTTAAAATCATTTTCTTAGGGGCTCACAACTTTCATAATCCATACGTACATCAATTGTGTAAAGCACATTTGTTCATTCATTGCCCTCATTCTCAAAACATTTGCTCTCTAAAGGTTTCCTCCCCGCTCCCACTACCATGACTCGAATTCTATCTTGCAAGACTGGCTAGACCAGAGGAGGTACACTGGTACAGATAGGAAC